GTTTAGCCGCCATTAATACTATACTAGGAAAAAGTGGTGTTGATTCATCAATTATGGCTCTATGTTGTGACGTATTACAAACTGACTTTTTTGCAAAATGGGATATTAAAGATCTGATGAACAACTATAGAAACGCGATTAACGTTTTATGTAGTACGAATATCGAACTTTTGCAGTTAGTATTGGCCGTCGCCTTACTTAAGGAATTCGTAAATTGTCTTTGGAGTTCATTAGAATCAATTCAAAACACAGAAACAGAAGCTATGATGTTCAATAACAAAATAGAAAATATTGAAGAAGTGATTGATGACATTAATCAAGCCATGGAACGTCAATCGTCGCTGATTCGCTCACTCAAATTATATTTTCTACGTGATTTATATGTCAAAGGGCTCTCATTGCACGGAATTAAATGTTTTTGTGAAGTACAACGCAGAACATTTCAATGGTTAGCTGATTTTGATTGGGGAGAAAACAATAGTAAGATTAACTTTGTAGCTTATCGTTGTTACAACCAATACTTAGAAGCAGAAACAACGTTTACTCCACTATATAAACGCGGTCAACCTATGCAATTTGAACAATTTTTGAATGGAGTTTCAAATAACTCAACAATAAGCACTAAAATGTCTATACTAGGAATTTTGATCACCTGACTCTATGATATTCGTGCGATACGAAAACTGAATTTTAATGAAGAATATGCAATTCAATGGTTGCGTAATCAATTACCAGATATGCAATTTGACAAATTTTATATAGATAAATTGTTAGCATTTCTCGAGAATACTAATCAACTTTATAGTATCTCTTCAGAAACGAGTCAGACAGAGCTATTGATTAGATCAGTTATTGTCCATACTATTGCACTTCATTCTTGCATCTCTGCAGCAAATTTTCCATTAGCTGCATACCTACAAACTTTAAAGGCTTGTAAAGACATATTTATATTGACATCTCGCGTAGAAACTGATTTCCTTCTTGAACTCACGAATGCCCTTGGAAATTTTACGCGGTATGTATTTCAAACATGAATTGAATTTTATTTTAAATTAAACCGGTTTTATTTCTTTAGTTACGCATGTCAGTGCGGCTACACATATATCGTTGGTGAATGCGGTGGAACACATTTGTCCACGATGTGGAAATCGTATTGGTGGATTAAATTACACTGTCAATCTAGGTAACAAGCGTCTCAATGCTCAAGTAATTAATGGAGCCAATGAGACAGTAACCCAATTAGGCTACGTTTATGAACCTATTGAGAGCAGAAAATATGTAAACTATCGTCTTCGTGATTTAACGCCGGTTTCCTATCGTATATTACATTTTTTTGTGCATGTACTTATTGCTGCTGCATCAAACGAAGATCATCAAGATTTTTTCAATAATCAACAGAATAATGAAGCAATTCAAGAACCTTTAGTTTATTGTCAAAGTCATATAGAGAATGATTGGCAAATATTGACACGTCTGTTTGATTGTAATGATGAGACCTTGGCTCTTGTATTACATTCAATACTACATTCTATATCTGAGAGTTCAAACGAAGTAAAGATAAAATTGGACACAGTAGAGAAACGACGAGCTTGGGAAAATGAATTCGCTCAACGTTACATAAATCCCAAAGTTGCTAATGCTCGCCATACCGCAACAGATTTTCAAAAATCAATTAAAGATTCTAAACGCACACTTGAAAGTGAAATTAATAAAACTTTAGATATTGATGAAAAATATCAAGAAGATTTTCATCCACGAATTTGGCGACGAGTTGGTGAAGCAATGGGGTGTGCGATATACTAAGTAAATCAAAACTATATGTGGTATCATATAAAAGCTTATTATTAATGATTTTTTGAGTGATCGCCAATTGAGCATACGTAATATATTTTATATATGAAAATTCAACACTTTTTTTAGATGCACAGGGTGCAATTTTTTTTTTTTAGCAAATTCTTCATACCAGTCGGTTCCTGCTTGTTATGCTTTTAAAGCTATAGAATTATTTTTTACATTATTTATGAGAAATACATTTTTTTATATAACTTATTTAATTGCATTTTTCGCTTGGTTGACTCGAAAGAATTTTAAAATAATTGGTATTTTTTTTGATTGAAATATAAATTTCGCTCTATAGGTTGATTTTTTGAGACTTAATATTGATCTTTTCAAAATTTCGTTTTATAACTATTTGTTGTTAAAGCTGTACATCTAATTAAACTTGAGAAATATGGGCATTTATAAATCATATAAACGTCGATTTCACTTAAAAAATGCACGACTTAAAAAATATCAAAAAAAACAAATATAATGGAAATATGCTTACAAGTGAAGAGGCATCCATCAGCATTAACGAAGAGGTATCTATCAACATTAACAAAGAGGCATCTATCAACATCAACGAAGAGGCATCTATTAATATTAACGAAGATGCATCTATTAACATCAATGAAGAGGCATCTATAAATATTAACAAAGAGGTATCTATCAATATTAACGAAGAGGCATCCATCAACATCAATGAAGAAGCATCCATCAACTTTAATGAAGAGGCATCCATCAACATCAATGAAGAGGCATCCATAAATATTAATGAAAAGGCATCTATCGAGGAAGCATTAATTAGAAGGTCTCCCAATAAAAGTTCACAAAGAATGCAATTGATATCGACCATACAACAATTATCTGATAAAGAATTGTCTTCAGCAAATAACCTTATTTCTACAATAAGATATCCAAAGGGTCCAAACAATGGGGAAATAATTTCACCGTATTTGCAACGAAAGGCTTATGATTATATTACCCAAAGTTTTTATAAACATAAACAAGATTTTCATTCAATACAAAGTTCAAATTTGAAACTATTAAAGAACAATAAAAAACTTTATCAAAAAAATAAAACACTTATTAAACAAACTCAGTCACTTGGAGCAAAAGCTCAGCATTATCAGAATCAAAAATCTAAACATATAGCTGAAATTCGATCTTTAGTTCGACATTCAACCCAAATTACTGAAGAAGAATTTCGCAAAAAAGCTAAATCTATTTTTCTTAATAATAATAAATCCTATTCATCAAATACTGTTTGGATCGCTACAAACATTTTACAAACGGGACAGACATCATTACGTTCTACTGTTAAGTGTATGGAATTGATTTATGAATTTCTAACAGGAGAACTACCTCAAAATCAGTTATCAATGTCTACTATTCGTACATGACATAAAGATATTTCAGAAATACATTTTAATAGACAGATTTGTCAAGCAAAAGAAGCACCTGTATTTGGAGTAATGGTCGATGAATCAACAAGAGGGCAAATAAAGAATTTAATACTTTGCTATCAATTCTGGAGTGAAATAGATCAATTACCTGTTGCAATGGTTGCTCAACTACAAAATATCATTAAATGTAATGCCAAAACTATTTCAGATATTACGATAACGCATATTCAAAAGAGTGGTTTAGATGTTAAAAAATGTGCTCTATGGGTCACAGATAATACGTCGTATTTGTCAGGTGATAAAAAAGGAGCCATTGTTCTTTTTAATAAAAAAACGAATGGAAGTTCATTACGAATTGGTTGCGGACTTCATATCGTTCAAATTATAATGAATCATTTTGAACAAGAAGCCTTTGGTGCACTTTCTAATAGTACAGGTTTTTCAAGAAAATCACATCCATATAATTTACTTTATTTGGCATGAAAACTACATGATGGTTATGATTCTAGTGATAAAGACAAGCCACTTAATATTAATTCGCAAATAATCAGGAATTTGTATGATGGATTGTTAGGATTTCACTATAATCAATACCAGTTACCCCTTCGAACTCGTTGGAGTTATGAATTATGAACAGCAAAACAATATCTTGATAGATGTTCAGCACATATTAAATTTGCAGACTGGTTTATTAATGAAATGGAAAATCGCAAAACTCCCAAGCAATATCTTAATGATTGGTATCTTTTTCGATCCTGGCTTTTAGATCCAAAATTAAATATCCAAATTAGGTGTTTAATAAACTTCACTGAACATTTTTACGAACCTTTGGTACAATTTATGGTTGGACAAGACTCAGTTTTACAGATTTACTAAAATGGAGAATTGGCTAAACTACCTTCTGGGCGACGTGCCCATGAAATGTCAGATAAAGTTTATGAATGGCATAAATTTCTTCAAGAGGTTACTAGGAATTTCGAAATATTCTTTGCTAACGAATTGTTAGAAGCTTTAGATGCATTATCTAGTAAAGAATTTGGAGTATTTTTTAATGATTTGGAGCAAGGAGTTATTAAAGTATTAGAGTATTTTGAGAAATGGTTTTTACCTTGGCTTCATTTACCACTAACCATTTTCCGTCTTGGTGGTAACAATGCTAAAGCTTTTGCTTCTAGTTTTTATCATGTGGTCTTAATGAAACCTTGGATTAATCCACCAACTGAATTGGAATTACGATTTGCTAAAGAACTTGAAGATGATTTAAAGAATAGATTAAATGATACCTTTAGTTTACGTGAGTTGCTATTACAAGACAATAATTTTTATAAGGAATTCGAACTATTCTGCATTGATGATAAATTATCTATATATGATTTTCCGAATTTATATAATTTCGTTAAGACTAGAATATATTTTGTAATTATTCACCAACAGCAAGTAGAGGGTCTTTTCAACAAATTGGACCTAAAAACTCATCCCAACATGTCACTATCATTTAAAGAATCTAAACTTCAATTGTCCTCGAGCAGAATTGATAAGGAAAATTTATCAGATGAATTAAGAGAAATAAGGACAAATCGAAAGAATACACTACTTCAAGAAATAAACCTGTCTCAATTTGGGCCTGAAGTCGCTTCAAATCTTTTTAATAAATTACTTAATTAAATTATCAATAAATTACTTAATTAAATTATTTTAATTTATTAATTTATTATGTATTATTATTATCGTGCAATAAATATTATTTATACCAAATCTCGAGGTAGATCGAAAATGCAGATCACGAGAAATGGTTAAAATTTAAAGTTAAATAGGCTTTCTTGATATAGGCTGGTAGTAGCCTTCTTTTGATAGAGTCTAAACGGGTATGTTCAAACATATGTTTAGTCTCAGGAGGAAAATGCTGCTGCGGCAGATCGCACTTGGGCATCTCTTAGACAGCCGAGTGAGTCCAGAATTGCAATAAGGAGGGCAGTTTTAAAAGTAGAATGGTTTTTTTTCTTTTATTATGTACTTGTCTAAATATTTTTTAATATTTCTCCTAATAAAATGAAGGGCAAGATCGCCTAAGTTAAAAAAAAAAAAAAAAAAAATAAATATTATTTATACGTATTATTTAAATCAGTGATCAACATAGCATGGTTACACTAAAAAAATTCGATAATAGATTTTTATATGATACCACATATAGTTTTGATTTACTTAGTATATCGCACACCCCAGTGAAGCAAGTTTTGAAAATTTACAAGCATACTGTGTAGGATATCCAAACTTTACTACAGAATTTCCATTTTTGTCATTATTCTTTGAAAATCATGAGGAATTGATATTGATAAAAAATCTGGTGCCAATTGTGAAATTCTCCCAAATTCTTTCTTCAAGATTATGCTATCGATTGAAAAGAAGTGATGCGCGCAATCTTACGTTTGAACGATTTCTTAAAAACAATGAAGGACTATCACCAGAAAATCTTTATGAAGCCTTTGAAAATTTTGCCAAAGTATGGAACTCTGTTAGGGAGCACGTTGTTCAGTTTGAATGTCATGAGTTTACAACTCCGATGCTCGAAATGACCAACAACCTCTCTGTAGTTTATGCATTATTCGAAAAAAGGGACGAATCATTATATCTATGTGGCGCGATCGAATTTTTGGCAAATTTACAAAATAAATTCCTGCAACGGGTCTTGGCTATTGAACCTGGTTGTCCTTCGTTAAGATTTTTAGAAGGGCAATTTATAAATAATGCTAAATGTCATGTTCCTCAACATCAATATTATATTGAATCGTTATTTCTTTCTGAGATACGTGCTAAAAATATTATAAATTATGAATGGAATCCTGAATTACTTTCCTATAGTCAACGTAATCTTGAGCTTGGTCACAGTTAGGAACTGCAATATGAGCTATATAAGATCGAAGCAGAATTAGCATACTTACTGATTTTTAACAAAGTTCATCTTAACAAAAATGACGCACTTGGGTTAGATGTGTTCCTTTATCATCTTGAACTATTTTCAACTTCTCGAACTATTTTGAGTGAAATCAGAGAGTTAATTCTTCAAGATCAAATTCCAGCTGAAAAACTTGAATTTTTCTCTATGGCTTCTTCATATAATGCTTCATCCAGATTTACCTTTAGTGGTTTGAATACTGCTGATATGGTTCCTGTTTTTGATAATCCCACGGAACTATTATCTGAACTTGAGATTCTACTTTGTTTTTTGAGGCAAATTTTGGCTGGAGATCGTGAAATAGAAATTACAAATTTTCTCAATAAATAGATGAGATTATCAGTATTAAACGAAAACCCCCAATTTCAACAGATAGTTAATGGATTAAGATTGAAACATGTTGTAGCACTATATGAACTAGTGGAAGAAAAAATTGCTGATGTAGAAATTGAGTATATATCAGATAAATATAAAGTCAAAATATCACAAAAAGACGAAATTAATGCAAATATTGATTTTGAACAGTCACATGGTATTGGTGGTGGTAGTAGTATAAATAAACTTAAAATTCCACATGTAGCTTTTGCATTAGTATTGAAAAGATTCATGTTTCGTTATTTGTCATCAGAGATGTATAATCCTAATGAGATACTCGCCAACTTTTTAGCTGGTGATACCCTTATTGATTGTTGGCCAGTTTGGGTACCTGATAATATTATTCATGATAAATTTCCAAAGTTATTATTAGCTACGAACATTTATGATGCATATCAATATACGATTCAGGTGAGCTAAAGGAATTTATTTCTTTAATACTAAAATAATTTTATTTAAATTTTCATTTACATATGGGGCCTTTGCAGTAGAAAAGGCGAATACTGCCAAAAAATGAAAATCAAGGTTTTGCTAAATTCAGATTAATTTTGACACAGGCTATATTTTTCAATTATAAATGGAAATTGATTTGCATAATAAAAAATCGAAATATTTTAATTTGTTTTTCTTGAAGGTTTCATATATCACGAGATTACCCGATATAACTGACCAATTAAATCATGAAAATTTTGATAAACCCGGATCAGTCCGAACAAAACAAACTCGATTTTCTCAAAATCATATATATTGCAGTATCTGCTCTTTCTACTGCAAAGGCCCCATATGTATATTTATTTTCAGAATGTGAAGAAAACAATTTCAAATAATAGTAATAATAGATGACCAAAAGAGCAAAAAGAGATTTCAAGGACAAGTTTTAGTTCAAGTATACATGGTGGGAATTCTAGGGGTCATGGAAGTCGTGGAGGTCGCAGAGGTCACGGAGGTAGTGGAAATGTTGATTTGATGTAATATAGTTTAATAACTTATAGTTTAAATATTGCTATATACTATAACTTAAAAATTTTGTGTTTTATATTAAAATCAGAAAGAGATATAATTTTTTTTTTTTGGTTTATATAACCTAGCTGAGTCAAATTTTGCAAACTTTTTTATATATAATAACTAGAACATGATCATGTAGGCAGTTTCACCACCTTGAATTAATTGTAAAAAATTTTATATTAGTTAACTAACTTGCACTTATATTATAATCTTCTTAATGACTAAAGATTGAACCCAAGTAGAAATGAGTACTGCAAAGCAAAACCTTATAATACTTATAATTTTTACTTAGCCCTTGTTAGAATTATGATATTACATAATTTATCACTATATTATTAGTATTCGATCTTTTTGATAATGCATATTAAATTGGTGATTAATATGTAATTTCAAAATCTAACAGAGGCTAAGTGCATTGTGAACTTTATTGTGATTATTTAATTATCCTGTTAGTTAATCGAAATAAATCATGATTGAAATTAAATTAATACTAAATTGTTGTGTAGGCTCTAATAGCTTAGTTGGCTAAGTCCCCAAATCTCTACTGACAAGATCAATAGTTCAATTCTAGTTGGAGGTATTTGCTTCTGTAATTATTATAAAACTATTAATTGAATGTAAAGCCTTGTGACAAAATTCATATGAAGTATAAGATTTTAGAAAAGAAATTTCTGAAAAGAGATTGATATTATAGAAAAAGTTAGCTTATGTATGATAGTTGATGTTATAGAAGGTTCTGTTATATAAGTGTTGTGTAAATAAGTTCTTAGTAAGGTTAGCATCTCTAGTAATTAGAAACTTACTTAGAAGGATAATATAAAGATAATACAAGTTAAGTAATAAGCAAATTAGTTGATATAATAAAGTTTGTAGAAAAAGATTAGTTTAACTAGATATAACATCTTTGGTATATGTAAAAGCTAGAATTAGAAAGTCTTGATATTGTAAAGAGTTAGCTATTATTTAGAGTATATATAAATATTTGAATTAACAGAAAATATAGAGTTAGTAAATGTAATTATATATCAGAGTATAAAGGTATACTAATATTAAATATTAGCTTATACAAACACAAGTTAGAAGTAGTATTATATATTATAAACTTAGTTGAAAGCAACTTTGTTACAAAATATAGTTTGTACTTTACTAATATATAGAAGTATTTAGTATTGATAATAGTATAGTATATAAATATAGTTATATATTATAAAATATTAATATTCTCAGATCTGCAATAAATATAGAAGAGATAATCTAATAAAGATAGTTATAGCATAAATTCTAATTAAAATAATATAGTAAGATTTTGTATAAAACTTATTTAAAAAGTTGTATTAGTTTAATTTATAATTTTTTAAATTATGTTTAAAGATAGACAAGGTAATAATATAAGTATAATTACTTATTTTTTTAGTCAATACTTAAACTAGGTTTAAGTACAATTTCCTAATAAACATTTTTTTAACATAACATTTTCTCAAAAAAAAAATTCTGAAGTTTTATTTCTTCAATATATTAATTTTATACAACAATTTCTATGATATAATATTTTACTAACCTAATTTTTTTGATACAATTTTTTAAACAGCATATATACAGATAGCTCATGTCTCTAACAAACTATATTTCTGATAGTTCATATCTCAACACTCAATTTCTCTAAAGACTTATATCTTAATAGTCTATATACCTAATAGTCTATATACTCAACAATCTATATACCTAATAGCCTTTATACTCAACAGCTTATATATCTAACAACTAGTATATATAACCTTCTAAGAATCTAAATTTGAATATTAATACTGATATTTAATGTTGTATTCAATTGTATGTTAATAGAAAAAAAATAACTTATTTAATTATCATTAATATCTTTAGATACTTAAATGTCTCTAAAGGTTAATTAGTCTAAAAATAATAATTACAAAATTTCAAATTAAACTTTCTATATTTAAAAAATATAAATGACATTAAAGAATTTGAAAGATTAAATTTCTTCTAAAGACTTGAAGTGAAACAAAAGCATTTTCTACTTGTATTTGAATTATATTCTGTTTCATCTAATTCAATTTTTTTTTAAAAAAATATTAGATGAATATAGGTAGTTGAGTAAATACACACTCTCTATTAATTATTCTGACTATTTTTGGAGCAGAAGAAAAAAGCTAAAAAACACTAAAGTTTTACTAAGAACTAGTATTAGAATTATTATCAAAAAGAAGAAAAAATAAAGAAATATATATAATAAAGTTACAGAACAAGAAAATAATAAGAAAACAAGAGCTTGATAAGAAGTTTTATTAAAAAAGATGACAAAAAAATCCAAATTTTTTGAAAAAAGTAGGAATAGAAGATACTCTGTAATGCAGATTATTTTGTTACACAAATATATAAAGTAAGGTAAACAAACAATTATATAATAAGGAGATTATACACATTATATGCTAAGAAATAGAAGCATATATATATAATTAAAACTAAAATTTTTATTAGCAAAGAGAAAAAATTACAAGAAATTTGAAAAAAAAAGACAAAGTCACTTCAAGAAAGAATATAGAAAGATAGAGGACAGAAGTATTAACTAACAAACTATCCTAAGTAAGGCTATAAAAAAGGAAAACTCAAGATATAGAGCAAAGAAAATTCTAAAGAAGTTATGAAGCATTTTATAGAAAAATATGGAAGAGTATTATTCTAAGAAAGAAGTAATAAAATTGAAAAGATTAAAGAATTTTTTGATGAAGCAGTAGCATTAGCAATAAAAGTTAACAAAGAAGTAATCATAGTAGTAAGATAATAGAGAATAGTAATAAAAAGAATTGCAATACTAGAAGAATTAGGTAGAGTAAAAAAGGTAATAATATAAAGAAATAAAAGTATAGAAATAGATATAGAAGCAAGTAGTACAGCTAATATAGAAGTAGAAATGCAAACAGAACCAATAGCAAGCATAGTAAATTAGAAACTAGAGTTAGAGATAAGCAGTAAAGTAGAAATAAAAATAAGTAAAATAAAAAAATTAATAAAAGCAAAAAAGCTGTAGAAGAAGAAATGAAAGATATTAGAATAATCAATAAAAGCTCAGAAATTAAACCAAGAAATGATATCTTTAAAGAAAAGTTTAACTAACTTGAAGTATATATCAAAATATAACATGAAAACCTTTATTAGATAAAAATATGTAGACATCTAAAAAAAATGCTCGCAAAGAAAAAAGTAAACATATAGCAAAAGTAGTAGCATAAATATATTAGATGACAATGCTGAGCAAAGAAAAAAATATATTAAATAATCTCTAAGAGGAACAAAGTATTTAAAAGGAATTAGAAAGAAGTTTACAAAAGAAAACTTGTAGTGTATCCTATATTTTGACTGCAAAGAAGAATATGAAGAAGCAAAAGCAGTATTCAAGAGCAAAAAGAAGGAGTATAAGCAATTAAATCTAATCTTAGAAAAAATATTAAGGAAGAGAGTAAATATAATGAATAAGAATAAATATGAGAAAGCAGAAGCAACTCAAAATCAAAGCATAACCAAAGAAGAAAGAGAGAAGCAAGCAAAAATTGAACTAGAAGAAATAAAGAAGAAAAGAGGAGAATTAGAAAAAAATATAATGAGGTTCAAAAAAGTCTAACTTAAGATAAAGAAAAAGGAAAAATAGAACTAAAGGAAAGATACAGGTAGAAACTACTACTAAGGAATTAAAAGAAAAATAAAAGAAAAGTAGATAACAAGCAAATAAAGAGAAAGAAAATAGCAGTATATACAAGGAAAAAAGAAAGTAACATTATAGCATAGAAAATAAAGATACAAAAGACTTAAAAAGAAGAAGCATATATCAAGAAAGTTTTAAAATAAATACAAGTAAAGAAGAAAATACTATAATAGTATAAAATATTTCTTTATATGTTACAAGAACACAAGTATTCAAAGCAATAATGCATATAGAAAGAGTTATATATATTAAAATGATTTAAGAAGAATATATGAAAATGAGAGTTTAAGTCATATTCGAAGAAGGTAGAATGAACAAAGAAGAAAAAGATATCTGATTAGTACTTTTATTAAACAATATACTAGTTTGTATAACACTAGATTTAAATAGTAGAAAACTTTTGAAAGGAGAAAGCAGTATATAACAAAACTCTTTAATATGTCAAAAGAAGCTAATAAAATGCTTCTTTTTAGACAAATTAGATATACAAGAGCAAAAACTGTATATATTTTCAAAAATGCAAATAGAAACAATAAAGAATTCATACTAATTATATTCAAAGTTAGAAAAAATTTAGAACAAGCAAGAAGATATAGTATAAGATATTATGATACAAGATTTTATTAGAAGAGAGCAGAAAACAATACAAATAAACAAATATATGACATAGTAGAGCAAAAGCAAACTTATATAAAACATGACTAGAGAAACAAAAGATATTAACAGGCAGATACAAGTGAAAATAAAGTATTATTTAATAGTATAGAATAGAAAAGAAAATATAAAAAGAAGAAAAGATCAAGAAAAAATGAAAGAGAAGAATTTAATAAAAAAAGAAAAACAGAGAATAGTAAAAAAGACAAGAGATATAAGAAGTCTTAAGAAGTTTCTAATATGTTATTAGAATATGTAGTTCAATTAATTTAGAAGTTAGAAGAAAAAGTAAGTATGTAAAAGCATAATGCTTTTAATTACTCCTAAAATTTGCTAAGTTCAATTACAAGAAACTTGTATAGCTCATAAAGGAAAATATGAGTATACAAAAAGGATATATAATATACTAAACTAAAAGAAGAGTAAAGTGATTAGAGTACAGAAAGTAGAGATAGAAAGAAGAAGTATTGAAACAAAGATAAAAGATATATGAAAAAAAAGAATTAAAATTGGAATACACAATATTAACAGGTTAAAAGAAAATATAACAAAGTTAGATTAATTATCTGAATACTGTAAAGAAAAACAATTTAAT